GAAGCTCTGTCTGTGCCTGATGGCGATGTCTAGGCTTTAGCTTGCCTGTGAGTACTGGCCCGGAAATGCCACAGAAAACTGAGACCTGGGACCAGCCCAGAGCCCTCTGCAGCTGTGCAGTGTACCAGCTGCCCTGCCTCCTCAGGTCCCCAGGATGTCCGTGTGAAATTCAACTGCATCTGGCAGGAGAGATGCTTTGCTCTCAGACCCAGTCCCCTTCGCCGCCCCGTGGTCCTTTGTGCGTGCATTCCCCACGCTTTCTCTAGTTATGGCAGACACACGCTCGCCAGTGTTCCTGTTGGACACACCCTCACACAGGCCCGCTGTGGCCTGGCGTAAGAACTCACTGGTCAGCGGTGCTATGTGGGTTTCATCAGGTCACGTGGCGTCAGGCTGTACTCCAGTTGTCCCCTGAGGTGCACTGCCACCCTGCCCACACCAGGCATCAGCTGACTAGTCTGACTTGCCAAAGAAGCGTGGAAGGATTGGGGGGACCTTGTTCCTGCCATCTCTCCCCTCGTTATTCCCAAACTTCTTCTCTCCCTGTGGTCATGGGCCCCGAGTCTCCCATGCCCACTGTGCTCTTGACCCATGTCTCTGCTGGAGGTACTGCTTGTCTTGGCTTGTCTGTTCTGTAACCCACCTGTATTGGTTACTTCTCTCCTTGCTGTGATTGGACACATGACAGAACCAGCTTTAAGGAAGGAAGGGATTAGTATGTCTCACAGTCCAAGGGATACAGTTTGCTGAGGCAGGAAAGGCGGGGTGGCGGGAGTGTGGTGCAGCTAGCCAGTCACATTGTACCCACAGCCAGGAAGCAGGGTGATGAGTCCTGGTGCTCCGCGTGCTGTCTCCTTTTTACTCAGTCTGGAACCCCAGGCCACAGGATAGTGTGTGCGACCCCTATTCAGGGTGGGGCATCCCTCCTCTATTAAACTTTTCTGTATTCATCCTCATAGACACACTCAGATGTGTGTTTCCATGGTGATTCCAAGTTGAGTTGCCCATGAAGAACCATCACAGCATCATAGCTAATGCTGATGTCTTTGGATCTGTCAGTACACACATGCCCAGCTGTGGTGATGCTTCCCAGGGCACTGGGTTGCTGTGAGCCACCTTCTTTTTGTTTGGTTTGCCATAGCTTTTAATTTTAATGAAGTCGTGTAACTCAGGCTGCCTGAAACTTGTCATCCTCCTGCCTCAGCCTTCTGAGTGCTAGAATATTTTGTGCTTTTGGAGTTTGCCCCATACATTCTTTTTTACCCACAGGGGACAACAATCATCTCTATCTAGCAAATCCTGCTACCTTGGAAGCTGTTCTTCATGCAGCCCATTTTATCCTGGTGCTGGCTTCACTGTAGCATTCCTGGAGACGAGGCCAGTTAGGTTTTCTGCATGTGGAGAGCCGGCGGCTCCCTTTCTAAAGGGACACTGAAGTACTTCTCCCTGCATCGATTACTTTTGCCTTTCTGCTCAGAAGTTAGTTTGGGTTTATACTCCTGGGCAGCAGTTAGGAAATGTCACTGTACTCTCAGTGACATCATCCAAAGCTGTCCGTTATTCCTGAGGGTGGGAATAGCCATTTTCAAGACTTTGACTTCTTTACATGATTTTCTGTTACTTGGTGTATATTGCTCTCCTTTAAATTATGGATTCGTGTGTTTCTTCTGTTTTGGAGAACGTCTCAGAATTTCATCTCGTTCTCTTTAGCCCTTCCTGGTGTGCTGATTCTTGTCCTAGTGTTTTGTGCATGGGTGTTCTGGCTGCTGTACTGTTCGTTGTGGGATCTGAAGTTCCTGGGAGCTGAAATTTGCTGAGACCTCTCTCTCAGCTCCCTAGGCGAGGCCTCTGACCCCTTGTCTCTAATTGTCTGTCATGGGTCCATTTGTGATTTAACCCGACCATCTATATGAAGAGGGCATATGGTGGGAGTACCTCTCTGCAGGGCAGCTCTGCCCCTGCCTCTTGGAATGGGTGGGTGCTACTGTCCTGAGGACCCTTTGGAGTCCTGACCTAGTGTAGCCTGGGTTCAGCTCCCTTCCCTGTGGGAGCCAGGGCCTGTCTTCTAACCCCAGCCCCACGTTCTCTTTAGTACCAGTGACCCTGGATTTCTCAGTGCCTTCCCTCACCATTCTTTTATCAGCTCACTGTTTGGGGGTCTTAACTTTCTCTAAGACTTTAGAATTTTCTAGCAATACATAAAAATACAGTTATTGTAATTGTGCCCAAGATGAAGGTATATTGTTGTCTTTGAGTGGGAGCATCTATCACACATGCTGTGAAAGTTGCCCACAAACTCATGTCCCTAGTACTCTGGAGGGACATGTCCTTCCCCTTCCTCAGCCCAGCCTCTCGTGGGCATCCCAGACCATGAACTGCCTTTCTTTTGCTGACTCTGCTCTCAGCTCTGTAGTGGGTACCTGTTCCACCCACCTATGACCTTGAGGTACCAGCCCCTAGGGCGTGGCCTTGGGGGCTAGTGTATGACCTGAGGGGCATGTACATCTCGCTCTCTTCTCTCCCTCATGGGCTTGGATGGTGTAGACTGACTGGGGCGACAGAAGCAGCCATCAGCAGATGATGAGTCTGTGATGAATTTTCCTTATCCTGTTTAGTGAGTTGTTCTCAATTTATAGCCTAACAAATTCCCTAACACTTCTTAAGCAGACTGCCATGGATATATCACAGTATCTGGCGCCCCAATGTGTGGGTGGGCTCTCACTACGGTCCTAGTGGCCCTTTAAGAGCCCACCTGTCCGTGCGGGCCAGCTTAATAACCCGGCCTGCTAGCAGCAGCTCAGATCCCACCCTCGGAGGAGGGCAGAAATTACTGCTCCACCCGACACCTCTCTCCCGTGACCTCTCTCACCCTGTGCCTGTGTTCCATGGCTGGAGCTGCGTACCCCTGCCCACCCCCGCTGCCCTCCAGCTTCTCTTTCTTGTTCTGGCTGCTTAGTCTGAATGTTGTCTGTGGGGCCATTCTGCTCCAGCCACACCGAGATTTGTAATTCCAGTGTCCACTGTAGTGGACAGAGCTGTAGCCCTGGGTTCTACCTGCTATCAAGGGTCAGGAGCTGGATGGGGTTTCTCTGAATTTAGAACTGACTCGGAAGTTCTGGTCCTAGGGGCTATCCAGGGCCTCTTCATCTCTTTCCTGCTTCTGATCACTTCTCAATCCTGCTGCCTCCCCTTTGGGGACGTGACTGACAGGTGTTGAGTGTCTAGTGATTTTTGGACATCTGATATGACCCAGCACCTCCACCTTGAACAGTCACAGTAGTCTGAACATCTCTTAGGAGGCTATGTGCCCCTGAAGAGCCACATCCAAGGCACTGGCTATATCTAAACTCAATTTCCCATCACTGGTGGCCATGATCCAAGAATATCCAGAGTCTACCCTGGTAGCCTCCATGGTATCCTAATGCCACTGTGGTAGGCAAGGGCACTGGGCATGGCTGGAGGACCTGAATGGGCTTGAGGAAGGTGACTTTGCTAGAGAGAGTGGGTATCCATGGGAGAAGCACACACCAGTAGAGAAGCGGCCAAGCTGAGAGTGGGAAGGCCGTCCCCAGAAAGCGGCAAGTCCCACCACGTCCTGGGAGTTAGCTAAGCAAAGGTGCTGGGCAAGTGTGAGAGGTTCAGTGGCCACAAGAGCGAGGTAGTTGATTAAGCAGGTTCATGGAAGACCTATCTGAGGGCAGGATGGATGTGGACAGGCAGATGATGTGGGTAGGCTTGTGGGACAGCCTGGGCCTGGCTGAGGGAAAACAAGGGTTGGAGAAGGGGCTGCCGAGGGTGGCTCCTAGGGGCTATGGTGCTGTAAGCCCCAAGAAAACTGTAGTGGAATTCAGCTGCCATCACAAAAGCTACTACTTGGAAAAGCCAAGGACTTCTCCAAAGGTCAAGCCATGGCTGGCTTAAGAAGTCTTGGTAATATTTTAGCTTTTGTATATATATTAGCTGGTTCCTAAGATGATTTTCTTGTGTGCTTCCAAGAACTCCTAACAGTGTATTTATCTAAAATGCCTATCAAGCATCCAAGGCCAAACGAAACAATACCTGTCTCCTAGGTCAGGCTGATAGCTTTATTTCTTGTGCAATTTAGGGTGAGACCCTCCTTTCTTATACAACCTTACTAATAGACCCCGAACTTTTTACCTACATTCTTAGGAATGTAGATGGAGCACATAGATCCCCTTTTGATAGACTAACCGGTCATTAGCACTCAGTTGACCTCCTTTTACCACTCCCATTTTGGATTGTAAAAGAAAGCCTGGTGGTCACTGCCTGAGGAAAATTCTTACCTTTCTTTATGACCCGTAAGAATTCAAGCCTGGTGACCTTGCTCAACCAGAGGATCACTATTGCTTGGGCTTATGATTTCTGGGAGACTTGGGGAGAATGTAGAGAACTTAAGGACGGAAAACTGAGAGGGATAAGGAGGATTTTGACCAGAGAGAACTTGTGGACGAGATGGAAGATGAGGAAGAGCCAGATGGAGAAGTACTAGCTGGTTAAGAACAAGATGAGAAGGACCTAGATGAGGCAGAATTAAGATGAGAGAATTAAGATAGAACTTAGAGGGAACAGTAGATAAAGGTAGAGAGAAATCAGGCAAGAAACGAGCTAGGCACAAGAACAGAAGTGAAGCTGTGTAGATTGGATTTTATCTCAGAGGAAAATTAAAGCAAATGGACTAAGAGCTCGGTGTGCTGAGATTCTATTTCCCGAAAATAGTCCTCGATGTTTGTAGTTCTCTCTCCTGAGCCCCTGGGATGTATAATATTAAGGCTGGTCCCTCTAATATTATACAAGACGTAGGCTCTTGTTTGGGTGTGGCAACACCTATTCTGAAGTCTCCAGCTCTTGCTGCCTAGTGGAACACTCTGGTAACTTCTGGTATTCTGAGTCAGGCACCCTTCCCGCTCCACAGCCTGTGGAGCTGAGATTAAGGGGAGAGCCGGCTTGGCCTGTTGCACACATGTCTGGGGAGAGGCCAGTGATACTCTGTGGCATTTAATAAAGATAGGACTCAACAAAGACAAAAATAAGGACAAGAGCAGACTCAGCTCATCACGTAGTGGGACAGCTCCACAACATCATCCCAATGGTTGAGGTAGAACCTTCGGGTCCTGGAGTCTGGGTCATGGCTGAGGGCCTCCAAATCTGCAGGAGAGACCACGGGTCCCACCAGGAGCTTGCTGTGAAGCTGATGGGCCCAGGGAACCCACAGTCTAGAGGGGAAGGTGATCCCCCACCCCCACCCGAGAAAAGCGTCTCCCACCAGGAAGCTCCCTCAGGTGCCGGGAAAGGCAGGCCTCAGCCACCCGAGGGTCCAAAGGCTCCACCCACTCACAGTTCTTAAGGATGATCACGTCGTCCTTTGTCAAGTAGAAGCAGAGGTCAGAGAAGTAGTCCTGAAGCAACGCCCCTGGGACAGCCAAGGAGGAGGTTGGCAATAGCAACCCTTGCCCTGCGAGAGCACTGGCCAGCAGGGGCAGCCCACCCCCTCACTGACATGGAGCTACGGACCCTGCAGTAGACCCAGGACACGTGACCCTGACCGTCCACTGTGGCAGCCCGGGAAATGGGACATGGGGTAGGGGTTTGAAGCAGCCGAGTCGGTACCTACCGATGAATCTCATGGCTGCCCCCTTCAGGGCCTTGTGGGGGCTGTCCAGATACATCAAGGCCTGGCTGAGAAACTGCTGGTAGTTGCCAAAGTTGCTTTCTATCTGAGAAGAGAAGACAGGGACTGCGGCCATATTGAGGGTCTGTGAGACACCTCACTTCAGGGACATGGCTTTCCTGAGGCACCCCCAGACACTGAACTCCACCTTCCAGTGCCTAGGGCCTGGAAGAGAGGTGGGCAGGCACCACAGTCCCACAGGGGATGTGGAGAGGTCATGGGTGGTGACGGTCCAGGTCCTTCATTTAGTCCAATAAGGGGAGCCCATGACAAGGATCTGGAAACACCCATATTTGTGGCCCTTGCCAACATCCCTCTGGACACCATCCAGCATGCCTCTGTCCATCCCTGCCTGGTTGTTATCTCACCACAAACCAAAAGCAGATGTCCCACAGCCCCAAGCCACCAGGGTCCCCTGCAAGGCCCATGTCATGAAGAGGGAGAGGCAGGCTCAGCACTGGCAACTTCTGCACCCCTGCTGCTTCTCTGTTGTTGAGGAA